AATAAATCTTTTAAAAGATTTGGAAATCAGCTCTGCATGACATTTGTATGCTGTAAATTTTTATTTGAATTCACATATTTTGTATAGTCAGTTATGGATCCAAACATAACCTCTCATCAATTTTTATTTGTACTATATTTTTTGACACTAGAATGAGACTTTTGATCTGTTCATCTTTGATTCACTCTATATTAACAAAAATATTAGTTTTTGTTGAACTCAGGAGATAAATTTCATTTAAGTATTGATAGACAATTTTGCTTTCCAATAAAAAGGTCTGTTTAAATACACAAAATAGTATAACTTTCTAAGGCATCAAAATTCATTTTCTCACCTTTTAACTAAGATTCCTAAGTATGAATCATCACATTTTTATCACCATAGCTTCTCCTTCCCCTGCTACCGAAACTAAACACGGCTAGAACATGGTGATGAAAGCAATGACCCTTACTTTCCCTTTGCTCATATTTCCTCACTTATTTCTCATCCCTTAGTACCATGTTCTTGTAAACGGTAAATCATGGTAAATCACGCTTAGGAACAAAGTGAAGTACAACAAACAAACAAAAATGCTGTATGAAAGAAATTCAGTAAGATCAAGTCATTCAATATCAAGCATTCTTCTTCCAAGTGAACATCTGGCTTTTTATTTTTTTTAACCAAAATCATACCTGTCCAAGCCACTATTTTCTGCTGGAACAAGAGAGAAAAATAAACCTTTAATATTTCCTGCACAAGGCCCAGTTTGTTTCCAGAAATTGCACTCGTCTCTGCACCTATTTTATTTCTCGTTACAGTACTTGCCACCACCTGACATATTAGACAACACAGAAATAAATGTTTCATTTCAGGAGATTTTAAGCTCTATGAGAACAGAGAGGTTGTCTTTCTTAAGTACCCCTGTATCCCCAGCACCTAGAATAAGGTCTGACATGCAGCAAGTGCTCAATGAATACATGTGGGATGAGGAACTGCCCAAGGCATCTCTCCCTAGCTCACTCCCTCTTGTTCCCGCAGGGATCCCTGCCAGCCCATGTCAGCCGTGCTCATGAAAACAACAAATATGCCGCCCTCCTTTCTTCCAGGATCAGTGACCAGGCCTTTTTGCCAATTTCACTGCTGGCTAGATTTTCAGGATGGAGGACCATGAGAAGTAGCACCGCTGGTGGTCCAATCTAAGTGTCCAGCCTGTCCACTGTATCAAACGGTAGCAAAGAGCGGCACTCAGTTCCTGCTTCAGATGAAGACAGGCTACGTCATTTCAAAGTGGTGCAGCCAGCCCGCCACAGCCACAGCTTCCACATGCACACAGTCAGCAACTGCACACAGTTACACTGCAGCTGACCTGTCCTACACCAAAAAGAAATGAACTGAACACCTACAGCTTTCTTTCCTTGTCATCATTCTCCAAACAATACAGCAGAACAACTATCTACACAGCATTTGCGTTGTATTGGGTATCATAAATCACGTAGAGATGACTTAAAATAATGTGGGGATGTGTGTAGGTTATATGCAAATGCCACATCATTTTATTCAGTTCTTTATTATTTTGTTTCTAGACTCAGGGGAAAAGAAAGAAAGAAAGAGAGACAATGTGTGTCTGCAGGTTCACACTCCACCCGGGAGCCGGGAACTCAATCCAGGTCTCCCACATGGGTGGCAAGAATCCAAGTACTTGAACCATCACCTGCTGCTTCCCTAGGTGTCCATCAGTAGGAAGCAGAGCTGGGAACTGAATGCCGGCATTCCAATAGGGGATGAAGGCATGAACTGTCGCACAAACACCCAACTCTTCACCATTTTACATGAGGAGCTAGAGCATCCTTGGATTTTGGTATCCATGGAGCCCTGAAATCAATCCCAGTGCATCACTGAGGGACAGCTGTCCATGGCAGAGGCCCATTTCCTGAAAGACTTGACTACTAGGGCAGTGGCTCCTGGACTTAGTGACAGCAGCACTGAGCCCTGGTCCAGGACCGACCGCTAACTGTGTCTTCACCAAGTCCCAGACTGTTACTCTGAAGACAGCTAACAATACGGAAACAAGCAAGCAAGTGCTCTCAAGAGAGGGCTTGGGGGAGGTGCTGGGGAAGGGTGGGCAGTGCAAGGCCCCGCAGAACTAACAGCAAAACTTTCTCAAAGGGCTCATGGCCCCTCCGGAAACCCCTCCACCCAACCCACCCCTTAAGAACTAACTATCCTCAGAAAGTGAGCCACTGTTGGCGTCACTAGGAGGAGAACAAAAAAGTCAGAAAAACTTTTCCAGGTTTCGAGTGAAGCCCTTTGAAGAATGGACCAAGATTTATGCTTCTTAGCGATCCCCATGTGGAATCTAACCCAGGCTGCTTTTCCAACCTCAGCTCCTTTCTTTACCTTAGCCACACCCTCTACTTTCCCTATTGTTCTGAACTTCTCCGTTTCCCGTATATGTCATGCCTTTCACCGCTTGTCACCCCTGTGGGAGATGCGGCTGACTGCCCACTTCACAGCCCACCAGGCAATGTTGCTCTCTCCTTGTTAATAGAATTCTGATTGTGTTCAGATATGGGACATGGATACAATCAAGGAAGGCGAGCACAGCCCAGAGCTCCAGGAAACCGCATGGTCAAAACAGTCACAGACATCATCCTCTCCTTTGCTTTGCAACAAGTGGCTGGTTTGGGGTAAGCACGTTAGCCATTCTGGATAATGGCACGTGGCCAATGGCACAGGGAACATCTGGGAAAATCTGTCCTTTGTTGTATGGAGAAAAACCGAGAAGCAAGTCCTGTCCTTGCCTCTCTGCTGTCAGTGCTGCTGTCTCTTATCATATGAAGGCACAACAGAGTTCATCCTGTGGAGGACGAGAGCCAGGGACATCTTCTAGAAGCCAACCAAGAGCTGTGACCACTTTGGACCACTGACCTCCAGATGTGTTATGTGAGGCAGTAGAGTAACCATGGTCATGCCACCTGCAACTGGAGCTCCCCTTCCTGCCACCGCAGCACGGGCTCTGGAAAGTCCTGTGCTTTTTCTCTGGACAGCCCTACTCCTTCCTGCTGCGAGCTCAACTCCAGCTTCCCTGGGGTGACTTCACTGCGTCCCCACACAGGTAAACAGACCTAGCCTCTGTTACCCGCACATCTGTCTTTTTAACTAGACTGGGGGCTCCTCAAAAAGCAAGCAGTTGCACTCATAGCAGAGGTCTTGGCACAAGGTGGGGCATTTCTTGAATGTTGAGTGAATGAATGAATAACCAACAAAACAAAGGATGGAAAAACACAGGCTGTGGTCCATGCCTTGGATGAAGACCTGCCTAGCATAATACAGCACTCCCCAGGTAGCCACATTGTAGTGTAGCCCTCCTTTAGGTGATGGCAAGCAAAGGTGGAGAAGACAGAGATTGCCCTGTTTTTGTCTGCCCAGAGCTCACTGGAAACCTACTCCACACCCAATAACCAGCAGTAGAGATGGGATAGTCACCATCACCGTAGCTGAACGAATCCTCCTGACACTGGAGGCCCCCAAATGATGCACCCACTCCTGTCATGGAAACTCACTCCCTCTCCCACAAGATGGCTTGGCCCTGCTTTGGTCCAGTAGTGGTAACATTAGCTATGAGGATGACAAGAAAGGATCTCTCTCTCTCTCTCTCTTTCTCTTTCTCTCTCTCTGATACATGTCAGTGCTACTGATCACTCCACACTAAGAACAATACAAAAGGGGGGGGGGGGGGTCAATACAAAAGGGGAAAAAGCCAAAATACATATGAGAGAACTAGCCCAGGAAGCTTGTTTAGCACCCCCCCCCCAATCTAGCTATGCCTGAAGCTAACACCTTCAGCTAACATCTCTTCATTGAGGTGAGCCATTCAATTCCTACACCGCGTAAGGCAATTTTCAAGTGACAAAACTCCAACACAAAGAAAAGAATTCTGGATGAGAAGAGGCTGGCAAAGCCCCCTCGGTCTGCAGGGCTTGTGCCCTGGCACCTCTCAGTCTGGGCGGATCCTCAGCATGAGCCTGTCAGCCTGGTGGTCAAGAATACCCACCCTCTCCCCCAACACGCAGCACCACCACCACCTGCCCTCCTGTAACCTGAGCTGCCTGGATCTGTCTTCCCTGCTGAAGCTGTGGGACCCCTGGGAGGAATGAAGCCCTACAGCAACACATAAGAAAAAGGGAGGACCCTCATCAAGCCTTATGACTGCAACTCTCCAGCTGTAATGGTTACAAAACGTCCTATTTTACCTTTGAGGAAACTGAAGCCCAGAGAAGTCAGGTAAGTTGCTCAAGGTCACACAGCTAGCAACTAGAATCTGAATGCCCTGCGAGACTTTTCCCACATTGTCACTCTCTGCTGGCCAGGCTCTGGGAGGTAGACAGCATCTCTCCAACCCCCAACCCCTACCCACAAGGGCCCAGGCACACACACACAGATCTGCAGCCTCACAACCTAAGCCCTCCGGAGTCGGACTTTACTACGGAAGTCCCAGGTAAATAACCAATGTGTCAGTCGGTTATTCAACCCCAAAAGTAAAAGCCGGGCAGCGGGGAGCAGCCGCACCCGCACCCGCGCGGGCGTGGTGTGAAGCGCCGCCGCAGAGGGAAAGGCGGGAGCTCGCTGGCTCCTGGCCCCGGGATTGGCCTTGAACGCCCGCCCCAGCGCCGCGCTCTCCTCAGCAGTTCGACCCCCAGCCTCTCCACTTCCCCTCCAGTACCGCAGAAGTCGCTGGCCCGGCGGCTCCCTAGGCATCGAGACACTCCCGCCGCACTAGCCGGCCCCGGACCCCAGCTCCTTCCTGGTCCAGATGTTGGCAGCTGCTCGCCCTGAGGCGGTCCCCGGACCCACTCCCCTGCTCTGCGCTGCGGTCCGGCGAGCTCCTCTCTCTCCCCCGCACTCCGGGCAGGGGCGCAGCGCACTGCCTGCCGCAGAGCTGCCACTCAGGGGCTCCGGACGCGCGGTCCCCAGGCCGAGCCCCGCCCCCTCCCCAAGTCCGCTGCGCCGGCCCGGCTCACCTGCGGCGTCCGCGCCCGCCTGGCCTCTCGGCGCCCTCGCCCGGCTGCCGGCTGCCGGCCTCAGCTCCTAGAGCGCCCGCCGCGGGCCGGCGTTGGCTGCGGCCGCGCGGGGCGGGGCGCGGCTCCTCCCCGCCCCGAGCCACCAGGGGCGCCGCGAAGGGGGCCGGGCCGGGGCAGGTGAGTCCCGCCCGAGACTGCAGCCCCGGGGGGCCCAGGCTGCAGTGAGGAACCGCAGGGATCGTCTGAGCTGCCCGGTGTTAGGTGACACCTGGGACGGTGAGTGCTTGGGAGGCGGCGGGGAGCCCCGTTCCCACTCAGCCCGGCCTGCTCCGAAAACGCACACGAGCGAGCGTGTGAGTGGGACCTGACCCAGCGCGAACAGGGGGAGTTCAGCCCCTGTCTTTGTGCGATGTAGAAATGGAGAGAGAAGTGGGTGGAAATGATTGGGCCAGGGGTGCAAGGTAAGTTTGTTCAGAACTAGAAGAACCCAGCTCTTTTCATGCACACCTCATCCACCCGGCAAATAAAATAATGGCACTAAGCTGTAACTAAGATAATTTTAGGTAGTGACGTTCTCCCAGAAAGGGCAGGAACCTTGCCTGTCCGCTGTTGAATCACCAGCTCCTTGGTACACACCCAGGGCAGAGCAGGTGCACTGTTACTGCGGGATGAACAGCCAGCGTGCAGCCTACTCTTGGGTGCAGGCTGGAGTTGTTCCAGCACGGCTCCTGCCCGATCAGCTGAGGGCCCAGAGTGGAACTGAGTGGCTTCCAAGCCACCATCCCTCCCACTCACACAGGCCTGGCAGCTGGCCTGTGGGAGGCCTCCACTCCCAGGCCACCTTTGTAGGCAGAAAGCATAGCTTTAACTTCTGAAGATGTCACAAATACAGTGATGTCCTGCCACACCTGCACTGTGCGAACAGTCCAGAGTTTGGGCAACTGATCCAAGATCCCAACACTGATGGCTGAGCTGAGCCTGGGGCCCAGTTCTGTGGTTTGAGAGAATGGACAAGCCTGGAGCCCTTCAGGTGCTATTGGGGTCTGCAGTGGGGAAAACTTGGCCATGGACAGAATTTCCGCAGAAATGGGGCCTGCAGCTGTCCCTCGGCTGAAACCAGCCGTGGTCCTTCCAGGCCTCTCTGCATTTACTGAGGGACCTGGCAGTTGCAGACACAAAGCTATGTTGAAATAAGGATACAAAGAGTATGGCATAGTTTTCTCTGTTTCATTTAGTAAACAAATGGCCACACACGCACACACACACAATGTGTGCTGCTGCCACTCACATGTTGATTTCAGGACTCATTCAAGTGCAGTGCAGGAAACATGGATCAATGCTAAAGTTGCAGGAAGAACATTCCTTTTTATAACTCTTTCAGCACCCTTCTATGCCCATATATAAAAATTCCAAGGCCAAAATGGAAGGTTTTCTGTTAAGGCGAGGTCAGGGCCAAGTGGTCTGCTCTACCCCTAACAGATATAATTATCTCCTTTCCTTTCATCAGTGGGTCCTGCACAGATAGCTGTTTAAGATCTGGTCTTTCAGAGCCAGCACTGCAGAGCAGGGGGTTAAGCCACGGCTTGCAACACCAGCATCTCATATCAGAGCACCCCAGCGGTTCCTGCTTCCAATGCAGCTCCCTGCTAATGCACTCGGGAAGGCAGAGGAAGATGGCCCGAGTGCTTGGGTCTCTGCTACCCACATGAAAGACCCTGAAGGAATTCCTGGATCCTGAATTTGGCCTGGCCCAGCCCTGGCCATTGCAGCCATTTGGGGAATGAACCAGCAAATGGAAGATTCTCTCTCTCTCTCTCTCTCTCCCCATCTCTTTGTCACCGTGCTTTTCAAATAAATAAATACATTTTGAAAAAGTATTCTTGAAAAAAAAAATCTGGTGTTTCTTAGTTGTTCACGTCGCATTGGGCAAGGCCAACCTGGAAAAGAGTTACAGGGAATGCCGCACCTAGGTGTGCCTAGCCACAAGTAGCTGCTACTCCCTCTGTGGTGGGTGGGGAGGCTGGCGCCCCAGGGTGGGGCTGTGGTGGGCCCTGCCCTTTGAGACAGCCACTTGCACTAGCAGGTGGGGCTGAGCAAGGGAGCCCCGCACCCCAGGATCTCACCCACGTGAAATGGGCGCAGTCCTGTTTATGTGTTGGTTTCAGTCAGTGGATCATGTGATCCCCTGTGATTTAGGATTCTCTTGCTGTGTGTGTGATCTCAGCTGGGCCAACCTGGTGAGTGATGACACCCAGAAAACCCTGAGATTCACCAGGAGGGCACAAGGTCTGCCCTGGTCTCTCTCTCTCTCTCTCTCTCTCTCTCTCTCTCTCTCTCTCCCCTCCTGGGCTTGCTGGGTAGCCCTGGGCATGTATCTCAATTATGCAATTTTCCCAGCTGGAAAAGATGCAACCATAACATCAGACAAGATGTCTGAGGTTCTGTGCTTGCAAGGAGAATCTGAAATATGAAGTGCTGACACTGTTGTGAGGTTACGTGAAACAGTGCACGTGAAGTGTCTGAGCACAGCACCGGCACAAAGCCCCTGCCGGATAAACAGTACCCTACGCATCACTAATGAAGCTCTGACTGCTACTGCAGAGTCAGCTCCTGTCAGCTGGCGTCAACGTGCCGCAGCATGGAGAAAACCACTGTTGGACTACCCAGTCCTCTTGAACAAACTCATCCTTGTAAACTACTGTGTTTGTGACGATTCTCTGCTGATCCCGAGGAAAACAGGGTTTGAAACAGAAAATCTTCACTTTCTTCTCTATCTCTCATTCTCTTAGGGTATAAGGAAAGAGAAATTATCCACAGAGGAAACAATCAAAAAAATTTCTGAGCTTTAGAATATATTTACCTGCCTAATTGTTCCTGCCTTTACATAGAACCCATTGGGTATTTTAATATTGTGTATCATCTTCTGAGCACATTTTCCAATGAGACAATGTAAATATAGATAATATTTATGGCACATAGTAGTTGCTCAGTTAATTACAACTAATATGGGGAAAGGGTAGGAAAGTGATCAGAAATATTAGGGTCAGAGATAGCCATGAAGTCAGATAGGCAAAACTGATAACCACTTTATTAGAAAACCCAGAATTTAATTTCACTGGCTCTGGAACTGTTTGGATTCAATTTCAGTCACACGTAGAAGGTATGCTAATCTGGGGTGAGCATTGTGGCACAGTGGATTAAGTTGCTGCCTGTGGTGCCAGCATCCCATATCAGAGTGTCAGTTCCAAGTTCCCACTGCTGTGCTTCCAATCCAGCTCCCTGTTGATGCACCTGGGAAAGCAGCAGGAGACGGCCCAAGTGCCAGGCCCCCTGCCACCACATGGGAGACCTGGATGGTGTTCCTGGCTCCAGCCATTGCAAACATTTGGGAGGTGAACCAGCATTTGAAAGAGTCAAGAGATTCTCTCTCTCTCTCTCTCTCTCTCTCTCTCTCTGTATAACTCTGCCTTTCAAAATACGTAAATGAATCTTTTTATAAAGAAGGTATGTCAATCTCTCTATGCCTCAGTTTCCTTTTCTACAAAATGAGATAATACTAGCATATTGTAGAAAAGCTAAAAGATAAATAGAATCTTAAATAACCTTTGTTGAGTGACTACTTTGTCTGAAGGATGGCTCAAAATGCTTAGATTGCCTTTTGAGAGTTGACCTTAAAGTGGGATTTTTTTTAACTTTTGTATTTATTTGAAAGGCAGAGAGAGAGAGAGAGAGAGAGAGAGAGAAAGGCTATTTCCCATCCATCCACTGGTTTACTCCCCAAATGCCCACAATAGCTAGGGCTAGACCAGACCAAGCCACGAGTCAGGAACTCAGTCCAGGTGTAACACATGGGTGGCAGGGACCCAATTCCTTGGGCCATCACCACTGCCTCCCAAGGTCTTCACCAGCAGGAAGCTAGAATAGGGAACAGAACCAGCACTCAAACCCAGGCACTCCAATATGGGTTGCAGATGTCCCAAGCAGCATCTTAACTACTACACCAAACACCTACCCCAGAGTAGGAATTTTTAATCAAGATTCCACAGATCCTGCCACTGGATTCAATATGAAGTGTCTACAGACATTTTTCCTAAAGATAACATCCTTAGATTTGCCAAGAGGTTTGGATCTCAGAATAGTTAGGAGTCACTACCTTACAGGTGTAGCCAGGGGTTTTGGAGCTGGAGGACTTGTTTGAGAACAATCCAGTTACTGTACCCAAGCATCACCCAGGGCATCCGGTTCCGGGCATAGATCACTCCTGAAAATTCTGACCAGGAGAGCAGAGTGGTTTGAGAATGAGCACTCCCTGTGCTGACCATCTGCAGGCAAGCCTGGGAAACTGGGTGCATACAATCTTCTCAGTTCACAGGTGAGGAAACATCCCTACCCCATCTCTGCCAAGGGGCTCCCTTCTCTCTCAGCCAGCCCTTCACAAAGGACAAGGAACATTGCTCCCTCTCTCCCTCAGCCACAGCCCCACTTCACACAGGCAGGGGCCTAAACAAAAGCAGGCCTCTCTGAAGAAAATTAAAGGCACAGCCAACTTTGTGTTGACCCTTACATTTTTAAATAATTTTTTTTATTTATTTTTACTTTATTTGAGGGAGAGAGAGAGAGAAGAAGGAAATGTGCTATCTACTGGTTCACTCCCCAAATGCCTGCAACAGCCAGCCAGAGCTGGGTCAGGCCAAGGCCAGGAGCCTGGAACTCAACCTAGGTCTCCAGGTGAGTTATCACCTGCTCCCTCCCAGGGTGTGCACTAGTAGGATGCTAAAACTAGAAACAGAGCAGCGCTCAGAGCTAGATATGAACCCTTGCACTCTGATGTGGAATGCTGGTGTCCCAAGTGGTGTTCTAACTGCTGGGCCAATTGCCCACCCACTCTTTACATTTTTTTGAAGATTTATTTTATTTATTTGAAAGAGTTACAGAGAGAGGTAGAAACAGAGAGGTCTTCCATCCACTGGTTAACTCCCTAGATGGCTGCAATGGCCGGAGCTGCACTGATCTGAAGCCAGGAGCCAGGAGCTTCTTCCAGGTCTCCCAGGTGGGTGCAGGGACCCAAGGACTCAGGCCATCTTCTACTACGTTCCCAGGCCATAGCAGAGAGCTGGATCAGAAGTG